GACGAGGGAGGGACGGGTGACCAAGGCGGTGGTGCCAGAGGAGGGAGGGGTGGGCAAGCGACCGACACGAGCACGACGCAACAACTATACCAGACATAGCAACCTGACTGGAACCGGCTACCTGGTGGGACGGAGGGAACCTGACCGGGGGGGGGGGGGTGTGGAGGGTGTACAGACCGGAGCCCGGCTCCTGGCGAAAAGTGGCCAAGGGGGCGTACGTGTCACCGTCCACACATACCGCAGTGTCACATGAAGGCTCAACCCAGACCCCGACGTGCTGTCTCGCCAGGGGGCCCACACCAACCAGGTTCCTAGAGAACGTAGGAACGTGGAGGCCAGTCAGGGAACCGGAAGGGGCAGCTGGGCACGGGAGTGTAGTGGCGTGAGTCGCAATGACCGGTCCCGAAGAGGGATCGGCCAGTGCTATGGAGACCGGCGCCAGTAGTGGAGAGAGAGTCGTGCGGTCGCGAAAGAAGCACTACGTTGCTCCTGAGTCCACTGTGAAGGAGAGAGATGCGTCCGCCGAGGGAGCACCTGTACTAGTAGCTAAACAAGATCCTACACTAGCACCTACTCTAGCAACAGGCAAAGATCCTACGCTAGGTACAAGCAGGTACACAGATCTAGGAGCAGTATAGTCAACATCAGCATATATGGCATAAGACCTAGCATCATCCATAGTCATATCAAAAACAGAGATATCACGAGTAAGAAGTGTCCCCCAGCGTGGCGGCGCGGGAACGGAGGGGCCGTGGTGCACGCGGTAGAGGTCGTCGAGACGACTGAAGCAGCGTGCAGCAGAGTGGTCAGGGCGGCCACAGTACGAGTCCCTACGTGGACCCGTAAGGATCCAGTACTCACAGGGACCAACGTCGCGACCGGCCGAGCGAGGTCCCCGACTGGAGGGGGCGGCACTGCGCCCAGTGCTCGGGGGACCCGCAGACCTCCACTGCTGCGGAGGGCCCCACTGCTGCGGCTGCGGCTGTAGCGGCCGCTGCTGCTGTCCCTGCTGCTGCTGCTGTCCAGACGGTGGCAGCTGCTGAGAAGCTGGCTGTTGCTGCTGCTGGAACCCCTCACCACCAGTGAAAACTCCACCGTCGAGAGGAGGGCCGCCAGGTCTCGAGCCACCCCCACCACCACTCCCACCACCTGCTCCACCGCCACCGCCACTACCCGCACCACCTCCAGTACCCCCGCCGCCCTTCCCGCCCTTCTTACCGGCCTTGCCACGTTTCTGTCCGCCAGAGACAGAAACAGCCGCCGTCTCCTCAGAGGCAGAAGACGCGGGGGTGGCAAGGGAGGCAGTGAAGGTGGGAAGCTGTGGTACCGCACACCCCTCAAAAAGACGAGGAGGAGGCGCGGAAGAGGCAGAGGCAACAGTGAGGAGGTTACCCTCGATTTTCGAGAGAGCAGTCTCAAGAAGATCGATGGTAAGCTCAGTGGGGTGCTTCAGAAGAAGCGCGTCGCGGGCTGTGGCTAGGCGGTCAGGGAGGCGAGTGACTAGCCAGTGAATAGTGAGCCACATAGGGGGCGGGGCAAGGGCAAGCTGGTCCTCAGTGCAAGCAGCGCGAAAGCGAGCGTCAAGGGAGCGAAGGTTGGTAATGAGGTTAGAGACAGTCTCAAAGGAGGCGAGGTCGAGGTAGATAAAGGGTACAAGGAGAGGACTGAGTGAAGCAGAGGAGGGAGTGGAGTAGCGAGCAACAATAGCCCGATAGAGATCTGCAGCAGACTCGACCTGAGTGAAGTGGACTGCCTCTGTCGGCGGGAGAAGGTCGGTCAGGGCGAGGCAGGCAGCGGCGTCACGAGACTCCCACACGTCGCGAGCGAGGAACTGGCGCTGGTACTCGGCCTCCTGCTCAAAAGTAGGCAGTGGGGTAGTGGGCAGCGAGCTAGGCTACTGGGGGGCGGTCTGAGTACCGGACGCGTGTGCGAACAGGTGCACGCCATCCTGCCGCTGGCTCTTAAGGTGGCGCTGCGCCTGCGTAAGCCACGTACTAAAGTCTATCGGTCTCCCATCCTTAGGGTCAAAGCGAAGTACTCGGGAGGTCGCCATAAGGGGCGAAAGTGGGAGAGCGCGGCTGCCAGCCGCGGGAGGGTGAGACAGTCAGTGGCGTGTGGGCAGGCGCGCAGGCGTGCAGGCGGGCAGGTGGCGCGACATGCGGACAGGCGGGCGGCGCGGCGCGCAGGTTGGCAGGCGGCGCGGCGCGCTGGCCGGCGAGCGGCTCGGCGGGTCTACGGGCGGGCGGCACGGCGCGCTGGCGCGTGCGCTGGCGTGGCGCGCTGGCGGGCGCGCTGGCGTGCGCGTTTGCAGGGCGCGCTGGCGTGGCGCGCTGGCACGTGCGCTGGCGGGCGCGCTGGCATGCACGTTTGCGGGGCGCGCTGGCGGGCACGTTTGCGGGGCGCGCTAACGTGCGCGCTGGCATGCACGTTTGCGTGGCGCGCTGGCGGGCACGTTTGCGGGGCGCGCTAACGTGCGCGCTGGCGGGGCGCGCTGGCATGCACGCTGGCGTGCGCGCTGGCGGGGCGCGCTGGCGTGCGCGCTGGCGGGGCGCACTGGCATGCGCGCTGGCGTGACGCGCTGGCGGGGCGCGATGGCGTGCCGCGCTGGCGTGCGGGCTGGCGGGGCGCGCTGGCGTGGCGCGCTGGCGGGCCTGCTGGCTAGGGCGCTGGCGGGCGTGTTGGCTAGGGCGTTTAGGGCAAACGCGGGGGAGGGGGGGGGGGCACCAAGACTAGAGACTAATTTTAGGAAGGGCGAAGACTAGGTGTGGCCTAGGAACGGCGAACCTACTGCTGATACCATCTTTTGAAGTGAAAACAACGGAATGAGTTAGATTGATTGTGTTGGGGTACAAATGCCTATCTCTAACTGTTTGTACCCCCATATAGCATAACCCTCTAGAGGCTATAACATTTGACAAGCTGGCTCAAAATAACGTAAACCCCCGGATACAAGACCCGGGGGCCTTATCACAATGGCACCTAAAAAAATGGTGGGGTCTATGGTAAGTAAATGGCACATATTTTATGAGACCCGGGTTTTTACAAATTGATCTTTATGACACATGCTTATGAGCCCAAACAAGTGAATCGGAAGTGCTCCGTTGTGATGTTAGCACCCCAAAAAAATACTCGAAATGGTCTCCTTAAGGGTTTAGCCCACGTCATCACAAAATCTAGGTGGGAGCCTCCTCCCATTGGCCACAAACGGTACTTGGTAGCCATATAAGTGGAAAGGGCACCGTGTGATGGGCCTAGCGCACAGTGTCCCCCCGGCCTTCACACCCCATGCACGCTTCGTGCGGGCTGCACAGTACTGGTTAGGGCGGGATCTACACCCCCCCTGCTTGTTGGCACGTCCTTATTTGTATACGCCGTCATTCACTTCCCCCTCCTGTTTCTTCTTCCCTTACTGTGCTCGACCGACTACCGCATCAGAGATGGCTTTCGGATCCATTGCTGGACAGGATGAGGATTAAGTGCCTGTTGTTACGGGGTACTTTCCTGTTCAAGGGTAGTTTACCCTAAACAGACCCCCAACCTTATCCCAACCCTATCTTCATCCAATCCCTTTGGGATTTCCTTGGATTTCCTAGATTTCCCAACCGCCACGTGGCACTCTACCTTTCTAGCATTCCAATTCTTTGTCCCACAAACTACTTTCCAACATTCTCTCTTGTTCGCTATATAAACCTTGCTTGTACTTGCCATTATCAACCAATTCTCATTCAACTCTTCTTCAATTACTCAGTAACTCCTTCGCCTATTTCGCTAGTAGTTCTTTCACCGAAATCTTCCGCCGCGTTTCATCCTCGACTTAGTCGACCCCGCTAATTCTTTAGCGGACTTAGGCCGTCGGGCCTAACAATGTGCATGTGCGTAACTGGTTATTATGTCTCTTATTGAACATGGAAAATGACATATTTTTGCTTCTTTAGCAACAATGAGTAGTTTCCTAGGGGGTTCCTAGGGGGTGGGGGGTCTTATAATGTTAGGTGCCATTTAGGGGGGCATAACTCGAATAGAGCCCCCCCCCCGCCGGTATTATAGACCCGGGGGTCTACAACTGGAGGGGGTCTTGTATTTGGGGATTTACGGTAAGGCTACGTTACGGTACATTTGTAGCTGTGTTCAGTGTGTTGCCAAGTGCTATTAATGGCGGTCAGCCTGAGAGTGAGAAATAGGACCTCAAAACATCTATTGCGGAAAGACTGCAATTAAAGTCATTAATTATGGTTTAAGCCTCCACAATCCATCCAACTACTTAACAACTGCAAGTGACAAGCATGCGAACAAGCCACTGACAAGACCCTCCGAAATAAAAGTCCCAGGGACTTATATACGGGGGGGTGTATGCTTAATATGGTCTAATCTGTGAGGACCCCCCTTTTGCTAATAAACATTTGAAGATCCCCCTCGTTGGTGTAGGATGTGCAGTTTCCATTGCTCTTCGACATTCACAAATCAGTTTTTAAGTGGATAAAGCCAAATTTTGACACGATCAATGCGCCAGACACGAAGTCTGACGCGTTGACCGTGTTTCAGATCAAAGGTTTAACTGGGTACTTTTGCGATTGCTCTTTAGTTAGGTTCGATTATGGTAGAGAAAAGCATACTCTATAGCAAAAATCGGTTTCTTATGAGAAAACTAGATGTCCAGGGGTCTTATTAAATTTTCATCCTCCATAATGTTCACCCTAACAGTTTTTTTTTTTTTTTTTTTTTTTTATTCGAAAAGTCCGGGAAAAGACGGTAGGTATAAGATACTTCGATGAAGCAATGAGATAAAGATATTCTAAGGACTTCTCATCACAATCGAATGTACCGCTCCATACCGAACTATACCAAATTTTAGACAATGTTCGATACTTGTGTATGACTCGGTGTAATATGATGCAGTACGGTAGAGTCGATTGCGACGCATACTTCTGGAACATGTGCCGTCCTGGATGTACCCTAAGATAAAGTGCATTATTGGTACAAACGACAGCACGAATCTCGAGTCACTTGCCTCTACACTTCTCCTCGCCCAGCACCACCGTCTTGAGGTGCTCCACTGCTGCGAACGAGGACGGGGTGGAGAGACGGGATGGAATAGGAAACGAGGACGGGGTGGAGAGACGGGATGGAATAGGAAACGAGGACGGGGTGGAGAGACGGGATGGAATAGGAAACGAGGACGGGGCAGTGGTAGAGGCGCCAGGGGATGGATGAGCATGCTGACCGCATCCCCAAAGTGGCAGGTTTTCTCCCCACCCCATCAACAACTACCACCATCAACCACACACCACCACCTGCCCTGAACAGGTGAGCAGGGTGATTGGGGAAACGTGTGAGGAGGGAGAGGCACAGGGGAGCATGAGATGTGAAAGGAGGGCGAGGTGTGAGGGGAGAGAGGGGTGCGAGATGTGCATCCTCCCATGTAACCATGCACGAAGAAGCTGGGCGGTCACAACACAATCACTCGCCAGAACCTCCGGGCACACGAGTCACCTCTTTATAGTCCCCACAGCCCAATTTCCCCAGCGTCGCCTTGAAATGGCAGGGAGATGGGGGAGTGGGGTGGGAGAGAGTGAAGGAGGTTTGTAGATTGGGTAGGGGCTGATTTGGGTTGGATAAGCGGTACAGGGCATGGCATTCACATCTTATTACAATCACATTCACCACGGTCACAAGCATCCACCGCACCTTTTGCTTCCTCAGAATCGTGTAACAATGCCCCAGCCTGCCTGTCCGAGCAGTTTGCCCTGCCTGGTGAACAAGAATTTTTATATAAACGGGCGCGTCGTAGCTGACAGGGTTGAACACGCCCTCCACATCCATGCCACGTGTCATGGCATCACTGGCCACCAGCACCTGCACCTCACCCATCCGGAACCAGTCCGGAATGGCACTGCTCGTCCATGCAGTCATGCGCAGGGAGGTTGTGATGGTTGGTGGGGGTTTGGGGAGAGGAGGGGGGTTGTGGGAAGTTGAAAAGGGATTGGGGGGCAACATTGTGTATCGAGGAAATGGTTAACGGAAGCAAGGCCACAAGCACCTGCACCTCGCCCCTCCAAAACAGGTCCAAAATGGCACTGCTTACGGGGGCATGAGGGTGGTGGCTGTGGTGGTTGGGTGGGGGGAAGGTAGAAGCAGAGGATGGAGGAGGCAGGCGATGGTGGGCGATGTTGAGAAGTCTTGAGACTTGGGGAGGTTGGAGGCGGGGGTCGGGAGGAAGAGGGCAGCATAGCATTTCTAAGAAAAATGATTGACATGTGCAGGGCCAGCAGCACTGAACTTACGGAGTCAATCCACTACTCATTCTGAAATTGGGTGGTGGTTGCAGTGGGCAGATAACATTGACTTTATAGATGAAATGATTTAATATTGTGAAAATGCTCATGACGCCATGAGGTTTTGGGGAGCACCCACTACTGCCTCTCCTCACCTGCGCTGGTGCTGCGACTGGCGAGAGAAGAACTCAGCAAAGGCGAAGGGCAGCGAGGCAGGGGAAAAGGAGGAGAGCAGCAGGAAGAGGCAGTGCGCCACCTAGAGGGAGGACGCAAACTCCAGTGTCAGCTAACGGGGGCGCACAACACCAGCAGCAGAAGCATCTGTGTTGGCAGCTGCATCTCTCTTCCTATCCACCGCCCCTTCTCCCGCCCCCTCCCTTGTGGACAGCTGCTTGAGCAGCGCTGCCAGCAGCAAGGGCTTGTCGCTTGCTTGTGGGCATACTTGGGGGGGGGGAGAGGGGGCGTGGAGGGGGAGAGTGCGGGTGGAGGGGAAAGGGAGGGCAGGGAGAGGGTGATGGTGGAGTGGCAAGACAGAAGCAGGAGCGAGTGTGGATGGAAGTGCTGGCAGTGCGCGGTGGAAGGGGACAAGACGTGAGGAGAGGGAGACTAGGGAGGAGGGGAGAAGAGAGGACGAGAAGAAAGTGGGGAGAGGGAGAGGAAGGAGGAGAGGAGGAGGAAGAAGACGTTAGAGGGGAGGTAGAAGCAGCAGGTGTATGGGTCAGTCAAGCTAGGACAATAACACCACCACAATCCTAACCGTCATGCACATCCATTCACCCCCATCACATCTATCCCACCACACACACACACACACCAGTCACCAGCATAGAAGTGTCCAGCATATTTTTTGGATTTGTCTAGATCTCCTCCGGGGACGGTTAAATGTACGCTTGAAACATGAACATCGGCGCAATATACCCATTGATGATTGTTATCCTCGTTGATGTTATAAAATGCTGCATCTCTCATTTTGCTAACTCATTCCTTGCCTTGTCCAACAGCTTCTCCCAGGATGGTAACAGTTGCCGTTCGGTGTGATCCACACCCCCATGGGACGCTCCAGCTCTACTTTGTTAGCTTATTTGTACTGCAGGTCCAGCAGCGGCAACTTCCCGTTGTTCTTCCCGGAACACCGCCGTTTTGTCCCGATATACTTTTAGCCCCGACTTTGCATCGAAATTGTCCATCATCCTTGCCGCGACAGGCAGCTCATAGCAGGAGCGATGTGTTGTCGACATACACCAATTACGCCAACTTCTCCGTGTCTCTCCGGCCGGTGCCCAATTCATACCGCGTCAACTCCTCGCTCCGCAACACACAGGAAGAGGTAAGCAGCTAATGTGCAGCCCTGTCTCAGTTTTTTTCCATCGCAACCATGTTTCATGTCCAGCTGTTAACATGCACCCTTGTCCCCGTCTCCTTATGCAGCCCTTCCATCCAAGTCACAAACTCCTTGGGAATGCCCATGCCTCTCAGTGTGCAGAAAAGAAAGGCCCTCAATATGGAGTCGAAGGCCTTCTTGAAGACGACCATCAGAAGAAACCAATCTTCTTTGCCGCTGGCTACTGCTTTGATGGCGTCTGCCACAACCGTAACCACGTTTGCTAGCTTCCGCCCTAGTAAGAAGCCGACCTGGTCCTCTGATATCACTGTGTGCAGAACCTTTTTTGGCCTTATCACCAGAACTTTTGCCAGCACCTTGTAGTCTTTACTGAGCAGGGTTTTTGGTCTATAATTGCGTAATTCTTCTTTGCTCCCCTTCTTATAGAGTAACATGGTGATTGTCATTGAGACGCTGCGATGTAGCGATGCCATGCGGGTGGAACTCTCTACAAATTGCATCAGCACCGGGATAAGTAAGTCCTAGTTATACTCGAAACAGTTCCTTGTAAGACTGTCCTGCCCAAGCGCCTTCCCCGGGGCCAGCTTGCGCACCACCTTCAGCACTTCCTCCTCTGACCACGGCGCTCTGAGGGCCTCCCTGCTGACCTACCCCATGGTACGATGCAGAAGGTCCAGCTCCGCGTCATTAGCGCCGACCTCACCCTGACCGCCGAAGGAATCTTTGAGAAATTCCGTTGCCATTGCAAGCACTTCTCTCACGCCGGAGTAATGCTTCCCCTTGAATCTAACCTCATTCATCTCCATCTTGGCTTTCCACGTATTAATCCTCCGAGATTGGAGAGCAGATCTTGTCTCCCCATCTAGCTCCGCCTTGACACCAACCCACACTCACAGATTCTCATGTTGACTCTTCTCATACGTGTCCAGTAACTCCTTTATAAGCAGGATTGCGTAATTTTGGGTCTCTGTCAGAGATGAGTGCAGCAAGGATGCCGTGGATGGTAATGACGTGGTCGAAGAGATGAGTGCAGCAAGGATGCTGTGGATGGTAATGATGTGGTCGAAGAAGAGGCATGCAGTTGCTTCAACCGTTTCCGTAGTATTGGTCAGTATTGTAATATTTTAGAGTATAGCATCATGCTCTCATGAGGTTGACGGAAGCCCATTGATGAAGTCGAGGCTAACGACTTGCCATCTCTGCTCCAGTACGGGTAGAGGTTGAAGTAATCATCCTTTTTTCTGCTTGCTACTCTTTATTTGCTGGCTCATGTCGCAAGAGGTGACGAAGTGCTGCACGCATGCTGCCATCTAGGGCCAATAGTAGAACTTCGCGATTACTGCTAACATCTTGTCAAATATCGAGACAGGAAAAAGTGCATTAGAGGAAAGTCGAGAGTACAAAGTAGAACCGTTATCCCCTCTAAGAGATAAACCCTAGTTTAGCCAATAACTATATGTATATGTATATAGAAAATATACAACCATCTACACACCTCACACTGCTAGAGAGAGCAACAGACGACGCAAGAGTTGACCTCCACGACACAACTCTAGAGCCAAGACTGAAGGAGTAGCCTTGTGAAGACCTCCTACGCTCAACATCGTTTGCCTACGACACGTCGCTTTGCCCAATGAGATTGACTGATCGTCTCCCTCCAAGCACAAGCCCCATGCCTGATGTGCTCGCCAGGTAGTGCACAACCTTCTTAGCGGCCTCTCAGTGAATAGGACGGAGTCTCCCAGGTGCAACAAACCGAGCTAGAATGCTAAGAGGGTATGCAAGATCTGGACGAGTGCAGGTCATCAGGTACATGAGGCAGCCCACCAGCTCTGCGTAGTCACCACTAGGCTCAGCAGGCTCGGCAGGAAGAGGAGCCGTCACTCTATGGTCAACTGCAAGAAGTGTTTCCTGTGGAGAGGAATAGCGAAAGCCAAACTGGTCGAGGATCTGCTGCACCAAGTGCGACTGAGATAGTGTAATGGTGCGCGCTGCTCTGTCCCGAGTGATCTGCAAGCCAATGTAGTGACGCAGCTCACCCAGGTCAGTGCAAGTGTGTCTCTTCTGCAGCTCCGCCTTCACTGGGGCCAGTGGAACCGTGTCAGCTGTAACAAAGACAAGGTCGTCGACGTACACCAAAATGTATAAGGGAGCATGACCAGAACGGACAAAGAGAGAAGGGTCAACGGAGGACGGAGCGAAGCCGAGAGAACGAATAGTGGTGTGTAGTGTGCCGTGCCACTCGCGAGGCGCCTATTGCAGACCATAGATTGGCCGCCTAAGACTCCATTGGGTGTCAGGAGGAAACGATCCAGAGAAACCTAGAGGACGGGGTAGCCAGATCTGCTCGTGGAGGTTGCCTTGGAGAAAATCAGTCAAGAAGTCCAGTGAGTGAAGCTCGTAGTCACGCAGTGCTGCTACGTGCAATAGTACCCAAAGAGTAGTTATCTTCGTGGTGGAGGAGGTGGTCTGAAAGAAGTCTACCCCCTCACGTTCACTGAAACCACACGCCACGTAACGCGCCTTGAAGACAGATGGCGATCCTGGCGGCGCTTCACCTCGAAAATCCACATGCCATCGACGATGTTCGCCCCAGGAGGGGGAACAGCATCAACGCAGGTGCTTGTGGACCTCCAAGATGCCATCTATGCCTCCATAGCTGCTATGTACTTCCCAGGGTCTTGAAACCGCCTCAGTGTAGGTGCGCTGAGTTGGGATTTTCAGAATAGCTAGGCAAGAATGAATGAACTAGCAGAAGTTTGGGTACAAATATGAAACCCTAGTTGGGGTTGTACCCCATATTGGCTACCCCACTACAGCCTACAAGCATAATACAGTTTAACACACCCCCATAGGCAAAGTGGGGGAGAACAAAGGGTCACAAGACCAGTCCAGCAAAGCAAAGCAAAGCCCAGGGTGGATCACAACGTCACCACACTCCGAGCACAAGTAAAGGCCACAAGGCCAGTTCACATGCAGTGCTAGATATAGTACAAGACAAGCAACACAGTGATCAAAACCTAGCAAGCAAGCAACAAGATATATATAAAGTACAGTACAAAGAATGTCAAGCAGTGAGCAAGTGAGGAAACGTGGACACAAGGCCTAAAGAAGTACAGTGCCGCTGATGATCACTAGGCGGGAGCGCCTTGGTGAAGATATCAGCAGTGTTGGCCTTCGAGTCCACGTACACAAGCCAAAGCTGACCTCGCTGCTGCAGCTCTCGAGCAAGAAAGTAGCGAAGAGCAATGTGCTTCGTCCTGTGCTCCAGTCTATGCTCCTGACACAAGGCAAGGGCCGCCTTGTTGTCACCGTACAGAACTGGAGGAGAACTAGGCCGCTCTCCCAAGTCAGTCAGCAGGTAGGTGAGCCAGCGTAAC